CCAACCCCTAACGTTCTGTGATTCTGTGAGACACTGTTTGTCTCAGAAAGGAAGCTGGTATCCCGTGCTGTTTTCTCTCTAGGAGAAAAGTATTGAGAGAAAAGTATTCAGAAGCAGTGTTGAGTAGTGATGGGAGTGTTCACTAACTGACTGGTGGCCACAGGCAGTGAGGGTGCAGACAAGGTGGCTGAATTAACCTGGTATCTGTCACGTTTGACTCCATCTCTTCTGCTGGCTTTGATGTCATCTTTTCTTGATGAGCCACCTAATTGGCTAAATCAGCAGAAAACTTTTTTTTTCTTCTCTTTTTTTTTTTCCCAGATTAGTTTTCTGCCAGATTGAGTTGAATTGGCTCACTGGAGAGTTGACCAAGGCTGCAGAAGCAGGGGAAGATGGACAAGCTATCTTGGTTGTAGTCTGCTCCTATCTCAGTCCATCTTGTCTGATTGCACCTTAACTGGTTATAGTGGGAAGGTTTGTTATACTTGTGATGTTAAGCAGAAGCCACTGCAGTCTTCCTGCAGTGAGGGCCATAGGACTGGAAAGATACTTGCAAGGACATCTTGTTGCTTCTCCCAGTGCAGGATATGTTCTGGTCGCTTTCATCTTTGCTTAGACTGAGACCTCTTCAGGGCAGAAACCTTCCCTGCCATTGTCAAGGCCCTGGGGGCACAAGTACCTAGTTGTAGTGACTAGCCTTCATCCACATGCTTTCTGCCCAGTGATTCAGGAGCTGTACTTCAGCTCAGGCCTGGCCCTTGCCTGAGTTATATTGTAAGTATACCCTTGCTCCAGGGCGGTCTCTGGTCCAGTCTCTTGGGTGGACCTTGGACCTATGTTGCAGGTGTCTTATCTCCTGAATGGACCCACATCGTAGTCCTGTCTCCACTCCTTTCTCTGACTGTGTCTCCTGCTGGTCTTGACTGGACTCCCTGGATGCACCTGATGTATAACCCTTGCCTTGTCTGGGACTCTCCATGGACCCCGATAGCGACACCCTGCTCTGCCCAACCCATCCGGATTGTGCAGGACTGCACCCTGGTTGGTGTGGGCACTGCCAGTGCTGGGGTCATGCTCAGCTCTTGGCTATTTCCCCCGTGTGGAACAGCCCTGTTCTTGCTGCTCCCTGGCTGTGAAGTGTTTCACATGTCTGTGTGTTTTTACAGCGGTAGAAATACAAGGAAGAAAACTTGTCTTTCATTAACATGAACTGCCTGTGTACCAATCTGTAAGATTTTTTTTACACAGTTTTTTGAACTATCACAAGCAGCTGTTCTCCCCAAGGTGTTCAGTATCAATATTCTGCCTCCCTCAAAGCTGATGGGAGCAGAACTTCTCATCTCTCCTGTGCCTTTTAAAGCTGATAGCTGAATGATCTGAGACATATAACCCAGTTTTTCCTTTACAGAAAAGTTGTGACAGCAAGACATCTTTTTGCCTGCTTGTTGAGAGTATAGTGCAAATTAATAAGTGTGTGAAGTTAGAAATGGCAGGAGAAAAGAGGAATTAAAGATCACAGGAGCTGGAGGCAGATTTCAAAAGATTCTTGGAGTCTGTTGAAATCACTCCTGCCTCTTAGGGTGCCTCGCTAACAGCACTGCTTATGTCCTTTTTTCCATGATAAGAAGGAAAGAAAAGCTAATTAAGTGTGACAGAAGAAGGTTCAAACACTCAAAAAAATCATAAAAGAACTGTGGCTATTAGAGACTGCTTTAAGAACAGAAAATGTATGTAGTCAGCTAGGGAAGCATTGGAGAATCAGCATTCCATTATAACCGGTGAGTTTCAAACCCCTTCTCACCAGTGAAGTAACCAGTGAATCATCCAGTTTATTCCTGTTACTCTGGTTTGTCTGTGTAGCTGGTCTGTCTGTATTTGCCACCTCAGTTAAACAACAATGCAAGATCAGTGTTTGAGGGTGGCTTAGCTTCAGAAATAAAGCTGTTCTTTATAGCTGTTGTTTTACATGTAATTGCGTGCTTTTAAGGGACAGAATGGAGCGATAGATCTGGAACAGGTTGGCTGTCTTTGTATTTAAGGTGAAGGCAGCAAGCCTAACAATACATGTGTTTCTCTTTTTTTTTAGGTCTGATTGGCTCAATCTTTTCCATCCTACAATTTTTCTCCTCTCCCCTTACTGGTGCTGTGTCGGACTGCTTGGGCAGAAGGCCTGTCATCTTGCTGACAGTGGTATGTGTCTCATACTGATGTTAGTCGTGCTGTCTCAATGCGCAGCTGAAGGCACTATGGTCCTCTGGTTAGCATAGAGGGTTGGGAGCTTGAACACTCTAGGTCTGTCGGTTATTGACTGCTTCTTGCCGAGTCGCTCGGCCGCGCTTCCAAACGCAAGTGCTTAAGCTGAGCTTCCCAGATCCAGAATTGTACATAGACGGCACCACAATACCTGTCTGTTTCTGGGATTTTCCAAAATTCCTTTCCCCTGTGTACAGGAGTATGACTGCAGATGCTCTGTTTACAAGTGTTAGACTTAATCTCGGTACATTTTAGCTCCCCAAGTGACTAATGAGGGCTGATCACTTCATGACCTATTTCACAGAGCCTGGGGATTGTGGGTTAGGAAGTGCTATATAGCAGTGTAAGATGTATTTCCTACAAACATGAACGTTCTCCAAAATGTTTTGCTGGTATGGGGTTCTAATTACAAAAGAAATGCAGAGCCAGTGTGTACGTACGTGGTTGAACTTGGCAGCAGCTGACATACAAATCTCCCTATCCTGTAGGCTTGTGGAGAGTGAATTAAATAAACACATGTGCTTATGACTGATTATGAAATTTAAGGGATAGAACTGTGAATTCTTCTTATTTTGAAACTGGAATTCTCTTGAAGTTGGAAACAAGTGGATTGGGATGTACAGAAGTGGTTTTGTGCCCAGGACTGATTTAGCTCCCTCTGAACTTTGTTTGCTCTTCTAATTTTATTAGTAGTCTCATATATATAATGAAGTTTGTATAGATTTGTTTCTACTTCTTTTATATCACTGTCCAGGGCATAGTGCAGTACCAGTATGTTCAGTAGTTTCTGTTACATGGCTTTTGGAGCAGCTGTTGAAAACAAACGAACAAAAAATGTAAATGTTTAGCTGGGAAATATGCAGAAAAGATATCAGCTTTGTCGTGCTTTATAAAGAACCCTTTCTTGCTTCTGCAGATTGGTTTGATAGCATCATACGCACTGTGGGCTGCCTCTAGGACTTTTGGCGTTTTTCTTCTCTCCAGGATCATAGGTGGAATAAGCAAAGGGAACGTCAGCCTCTCCACAGCTGTAATTGCTGACTTGCACTCTCCAAAAGCACGGAGCAAGGGCATGGTGAGTTACACGTGGGGTATGCTGCGTAACTTTTCATTGATTTCAAGTGCTCAGAATGTCTTCCTCAGGTGTGTATTCATTGACCAAATGAAAACATGACTTTATGTACTACTTCGCTTCTGAAAAGGTGCCAGATCATTTTGCTGGTGAGCTCTCGGACTTTGCTTGTCAGTGACTTTTACCTACAAGTGAAACACAGGTGCCCTAGAGGTGGAAAAACTACCTGTGGAAGTGTTATAACTGGTACTGCTGCCGATAACTTAATCCTCATTATAACAGCTGAGAAACTGAAAAGTCTTATGGCCCAGTGTTGGTAGGTGGAAGCCAGTCATAGGACAACCTGTTTTTCTCACCTTCCGAAACTGTGGAAGCACTGCAGCCCTGCACAGCACAGCGTGCCGCCTGATGCCTTGGTGCTGCACTAGCTTTAGGATCTGAGGTCAGCGGGTAAAGGATGTGGCATTTGGCAGACTGAGCAGCAAGTAGTATGAACAGCTGCCCTGTCCTCGTCCAGAAGGCAGCGGCCCAGATGGAAACACCCTGCAGGCTGATCTTTGTCTGTGGATTACCAGTTAGATCTGCTATTTTATAAAAACCTTGGGGGCCCAAACTTCACTTAACAGATTGGTATAAGCCACTGTGCGGGACAGCTGCTTCCTGGGAGGGGAAAGCTTTAGATTTCACAGTGATAGCTAATGAATTTTCCAGGCAATTGATTAAAGTCCCGGTGTTTTTTGTTATGTTTTTATTGATGGAGAGGAATAGCCATACAGGACTAGTAGTAGTAAATAAAATGGGTCAGGGCCTATTTTTAGAGATCGAGAACAAGTCACCTAGACCTACAGCATGGCTCACACCCATGTGACTTATACTCTCTTCTTTTCCCAAGCAGAGTAGGCATGTTCATTCTGCTTTCTGGGAAGAGAATAGCCTCTGACTGATGCTATTCCCAAACTGTGATGGGTCACTGCCTGGGAGAGTGCTGGCTGGGCAGGTTGTAACAGCACTGGAGACTGTGAGGTGACACCTGAGTGTGCCCTGGCCTTGTTTAGTTTAGTACTATAGATACAGTTAAATAGAGTCAGGAGAGCAGGAGGATCGTGTCCTGGGATGACACGTGTTGGGGTCCTGCATATGCAAGTATATGTCTTTGGACGTCTCTTAAAGAAAACGAGCCGGATCCTGCACTGCTGTGTTGAGCAATCTCACTGAGCTGATGACTCAAGTCAGTGCCCTTTAAAGCTCCCATCCAGTGTGTACAGACTCTACCTCTTTTCCTATGTGCTGGTTTCATAGTGAGTTAATAAATCCTCTTTAGTACCTGCACTGAATTCAGGTTGTTCTGGGAAGCCGTTCAGCCTGTTTGCTCTAGGAGACATAAATTCCTAAATGCAGAAATTGCCAAGGCATTTTAGAAGCTGTAGACATCATTTTGAATTCCTACCGTGGTGCAGTCCTCCCTTCTCCAGTTTTACACTACAAAAACTTATTCTATGACTGAAGGATCTGCTGGCTGAGCAGTCCCTGAGGTGAGAATCATTATTTCCCTTCTCAGCTTCCTTTCACTCAGAACCACATTGCAGTTTATTCCTGTCACTTTCCTGACTGGACAGAAAATAAAATCTGTTATTTGGAAAGAAAAGGTTTTTCACTCTTAATGCTCTTTGCTGTGCACTTGCCACATCCTCAGGGTGGTTAGGTTCTGTATCTGGTTGCATTTCTTTAAGGCAAATGCCAGGAAATCGAAATTGTTTTAGAACTGAGCTACCTGAACAAACTGGTGTCTAAAACTACATGTCTGTATTCATTGTATCGCTGCAGGCAATGATTGGGGTTGCTTTCTCCCTTGGTTTTACCCTGGGTCCCATGATTGGAGCTTACCTAGCCATGGAGACAGAGAAAGGAGAAGTCTTCTATCTTCGTTCAGCGTTGTTAGCACTCACGTTTGCTGTGGCTGATTTAATTTTCATCTTCTTCCTACTTCCGGAGACACTTCCCAAAGAAAAACGGGTAAATGGACTATCAATCTGAAAATCTGTGTTTCTTGCAAAAATGGGATTTGAGAACTGTTGAAATACTGGAAACAATGAAGAGGAGCCTTAGCCAGTGTCTCAGGAATCCAGCTCATTCCTGGAACCAGGATTAAATGCTGTTATTCAAGCTGGTGTCAAAGTGGTTGCATGATGGTCCCATCTCCTAGCCCAGTGTAATATGAGAAATTCTTTATAGCTAACGTGACTGCTTAATTGGTGGTTTTGGTGTGCTATGTTTGAATTTCTCAAAACCTAATGAGAACATTGGGGGAGACAGTGAATTTTAAACTGTGATCACCATGACTCCCTGGGGAGAAATTTCAGCTAATCATAAAAGGGAATGTATCAGAGGCTGGATTTTCTTTCATTTAGCCAGTATATGTTAGAAATTTTCTGAACTATTATCTTGTCTTTGCTTGATAGTTTTGAACTCTAAAACAGCAAATGACTCTCATCTCTGAGCTGTGATGTCTTCCACAGATACACATGCTAAAATTCAGTGACTGTTTGGATTTGTGGGGCTGAACATTTATTAATGTTATGGTTTAATACTGCGTGATCAGATGCTGACCAGGATGCAGCTGATGAAAAGCCTCTTGGAACAGCCTCCTTTGTAGCGTGGAGGAGGCTGGATTCAGCCCTAGGTGTCTGGGTGAAACACTCGATTTGAGGCTTTCAGCTGGGTTGAATCTTTCCTGTCATTCCTTGTTTCTATGCATCACTCGGCTGTTGAAGTGTGCTTGGTCCCTGGATAGACAGTTTGACCCTGAGAATTGTTAGGAAACGTGTGTCTGCAGTGCTCCTGCCAGGGCAAAACTTTAGACCTTCCCTCAGTGTTTCCCACCAGGTTGTGTCCCATGTGAAATGGGTTGCTCACGTTATCTTCCCACTACAGCTATTCTGTTTTCTTGTTTGGTTTTGTTTTAACAGCTCTTCAATATCTCATCTGTTCCCCTTTCCTGTTTGGCTGTTTCTGAACATTACCAGTAAAATCCTGTTCTTGGTTAGAGCTGCACACTCTGGGGTGGTGGCAACATGTTGGCCTAGGGGAGTGCTGTAGAGCAAATCTGTGTTCTGTAAACACTTCCACCTTTGCTGTAGAGGGAGAAATGGCTCCAGCACCTTTTAGGACTGTATGATGACTGAATACCTCCCTCCCCCTTTTATTATCCTCTTGAGAGTTCTTCTGAGAAGCTAGTCTGTGTTAGCCAACATGACTGAATTTTGCTAAGAAGATGAGTGCTCTGTCTCTGTGCAACAGTAGGTGTTGTGTGAGGCGGATTAATAGGTGCCTCTCGGGGTCAGGTCCCAGTCATGCAAAGTACGCAGGGGGGTTGGTTGCTGATGAGAGTGGTTTGTCTGGCCTCAGAGCTTCTTGTGATCGGTATCAGTGTTAGTGCTTTTGTGCTGACTCCTTGCAGCTTGCATCTGGGCAGTGGCCTCATGCAATTTGCGTGTTGTGGAGTATTTGTAGTTTCACTTATTAGACTGCTTTGCTCTTTTCTTGGGTAATTCCTGCCACTTTCTGAGTGGGAGAGCAGCAGTTTTCTTGGCCCATGGGTGACAGAGGAAAGGCAGGTATGTTGGCTGGGCTGAGCTGGAGCAGGTGCTCCTGGAGTAGAGGAGTGGACACATTGGAAGGACAAAGCTGTAAAAAGAGGGGAAATGATAATGACAACAGAGAGGAGGATGTGCCAGTGGGGTCAGACATCTGTTTCCTTGAAATATGCTGTGTTCTCATGATATTTTTGTTTCTCTATCAGACCTCTTTTCACAGGAGAGTAGTATCTCACATCCATTCATGTTGGAATTAACTTGTAGAAAGGGGGAGGTGGAGGAGGGACAGGGGAAACAAGGATGGGTTTTCATCCAAAGAAACCAGCATTTTCACTATCCTTCTTCCCCTTTTTTCCGACTGTTTGTCAAGTTTATCAGGTGAAGAGTGGTCAGAGAACTGTACCTTTCACCTGCCAGAGACACTGGTCTTCTGTGAGGTGGCCAAAACAGCTCCTGCTGCGATCTGCTTGGGAGAAGGGAGGAATAGAAAGGTCTCTAGTGGCATCTGTCACGTTGAAGAGCTTTTGAGTTAATTTTTAGCTAAGCTAGTCATGGGAAGGCTGCCTAGCTGGAGGGGGGGGTCTTACACCTTTTTTTCTGGTGTTGAGCTAATCATGTAAAGACTGTGTGTAGGGAAAAAACAAGGCTTTTGCTCCATGCATACTAAACAGTGTCTGAATTGAAGGGTAAGGCTGCAGCTTGGAAGGCCCAGGCTGCAGTCCTGGTTTGGACTGACTCTGTGCCTTCAAGACATGTTACTTAAGGAGATAATGGAGTCACCGTCCCTGGAGGTGTTCAAAAAATGTGTAGATGTGGCACTTCGGGACATGGTTTGGTGGGTGCGGTGGTGCTGGGTTGACGGGTGGACTTGATGATCTTAGAGGTCTTTTCCAACCTTAATGATTCTGTGATTAGTCTCTCTGCACTAAGGCAACACAAAGTGAACAAAGCTACTGTGAAAAACGTCTGCCATTCAAGGTGACTTTTGGGGTGATCATGAAGTAAAATTGAGCAATTTTGGAATAATAAATCATAAGCATAGAAATTAAATAGTTAGATGTTGCAGATTTTTAACATGTGAAGAATAAGCTCCATGCAGCTGGTGACGTTGACTGAAATTGGCAGTGTATACTTCCTTATTTGGGGGTGATGTCAGTTTTAGGACAATGTTTTCATTATCGATCAGTGGATGAAGTCACTTCTAGACCACTGCTTCTAGGGCAAAGATAGGAGAAATTCAAAGAAATTTGCATGCACACACATGCATATATTTTTAAAAATCTAATACATATATATATATATATATATATTTCATAAAACAGTTAAGATTTTAAACGTACACATATATAATATATATCCTGCGGACCAAGCTGAAATCAGCCTTGTAGTACCAAGCAGCTTGGCACCCTGTCTGACAGGGATAATAATTCAAAACAGGTACAAACTACAGGGTTTTTTATTACTGGCAAACACGCTTGAAGACAGTTGCTTGTTACGAGACTCTCTATGTTGTAGTACAAACACCAGCATGCCAACAAGTGCAGGAACTGAGGATTGCCACAAGCCAGCTCCAGGAAATCCTCTTACAGACCTTTTAAAAGCATGAGGAAACTTCTTCTTGGGAGCGTCTGTTTACTCTCTGCAATACACGCAGTGGAACTGGAAATATATGTCCTAGTTTGTTCGATGTGGATCAGCAGCTTTATGGCTTTATACAGAACCAGCCTGGTATATTGAACTGGTTGCTGTCGTGAAACTAAATGGGCTCTAGACCTCTGCTGTCGGATACTCAGAAGCTCTAACTATCAAAACAAGACAGGGGTCGTGTTAATACCATGTTGAAGGCTGATTTGTTTGCAGCTCTTTTAAATCCAGTCCATGCGAGTCCTCAGGTCATGCACCAAGATTAAGTTCCACTGGTAATTTGACCTTTAATCTCTGCCTTCAAGGAGGTAATAGCTCCCTCCCTCCCGCCCTATCTGGGAAGAGAAGGAAGCTCATCAGCTAAAGCCCAGGCAGTGCTTTGAAGATGTGAAATACTAAGTGAGATTATTCAGGATTCTTGAGTCTGTCTTATCTCTTCCTGTAACTGTTGTGTAAAGTGACAGTCTAAATGCCCCTACTTTAAAAGGAATTGTTTCCTTAAGAATGTAGACATCATTTCTTCTTTAGTATTTGCTTTATTTTTCTATACCTTAGAATAAAGCATAAATTAAAAAATTAAATTCTTTATAGATGAAAGAATAAGCATCCCCTAAGCACTTGTTGCTAAGAAGCAGGGAGGGTGCCACTAGGTGCATAATTCGGTTGACATGTACAGAGTACAAGGACCAGAAGTGCTACAAAATAATTGCTCTTTAAAAAGCCACACAATGTGGCTGGGCAGAATCGCTCTAGAAATCTCTCTAAAATCTCTCCAAAGAATCTGTCTAAAAACTATATTTTCCTTTTCTTCCCCAGGAGATGTCACTGGCAGGCTAAAAGAACAACCAGTAGACGGTTGTTTTATGTGCTGCACATACTGTTCTCAGTCTTGTGGCACACAAGCAAATCCCCAGCTTCCCATGAGCTTGCAGGCAGATGCGCCATTATTTTCATGTTATCATTCTCATGTTCATTGGACATGAGGGGTGATGCAAAAGGTGAACCAAATAGTGCCACCTTCAAGGCTGTGGAGAATGAAACCTTTTTTTTTTTTAAGAACCTGTAGAAGAATCTGTTTTCTGTCTTCGGTGAAAGCTGCTATCAGTGCTCTACCTTCTAGTTGTAGTGCTGGAGCCAATTCTGTGCTCAGAAAGTCTGGGCTGTTATTGGGGTCACTCAAACCCCAGTGCCAGTTGCCTTGCTTCATCTCAGATAATTTGTGTAGGTGTGGAAGCGCATGTAACTGTTACTGTCCAATTCCTTGCAGTAGTTCTTACGCCACGTTTTTAAATAAACCTCTTTCTCTGATCAGGTCTCTTCTGTGATGTCGGGATTTCAGGCAGCAGTTGACTTGCTCAGTCCTTTGGCTTTATTTCAGTTCTCTGCAGTCACCCGAGGAAAGCAATCTCCTTCACAGGAAAGTAAGTGTTACCTGGCTTTTAATATTAATATTGTATGTCTTTTTGTATGTGGTGGTGGTTTCTAAGTGAAAACTTCACTCAAACTATTTCAGAAGTTGCACTCTGTTCATTCATTTAAACCCCACCTTACTAACTTATGAACAGAGAATTGCAAGTTCCCTTGGACGCTGGTCCTGTTATTCCCAAAAGAAGTTTTTAGAGACTAGAGTTTTGAAGATTTCTGACTTGCTACTTGTTTTTTGTTCAGGCACTGGCTGCAGCATGGGGTAGGCTGCAGTAAGTGAAGTGATTTCAAAAGCTAGATCAAGGCATGAGTAAGGAAGATGTGAGTTTCCTTTTTCAAGCTGCAAACGAGGGAAACTTCAGGCTGGAATATAATTTCTCAGTTCAGGACTTGGAGATGTCAGAGTTGAGCTGGCCATTTCTCCGTATGAAATTATTTAAGCTGTAGAAAATAGTGTTTGCCAGGTACACTGACTTACCGTTCAGTCCTCCTTGCCGCTGCCCTGGGAATAGACTCATACTTGGCACTTTGGAGAAAACCTGTTAAACCCTGCATTGGCAGAAACATAAGTAAGGTAATCTATCACAGACCATTTGTAGCTTAGGAAAAGGGATGCTGTGCTTCAGCCAGTATCAGCCTGAAGGCAGCACCGAGATATCATCAGGTGGAATACGGGTATTGGTTAAAATAAATAAATAAAAGAAATTAAGAAATCCCTGTATAGGTGGGGGTGTGGGTGAGTGAGACCAGGGTGACCCAGAGAGCGATTAGTCTTTTTGGCTCTCCTCCCCTCCTAAGAAGGGAGGTAGCAGGCAGAAGTCATTTTGTGGCATGGCTTGCAGGGATATTTAAAATGAGCATCTGAGGTGAGAACTTTTCCCTGTACAGTTGATAAATGTTGCTCTACTGTTGTTGTTATATTCTCAAGCTATGCTTGAAAAACACCACTGTGTTTCTCTCCCCGCCCCTTGGTCTGTGTTTGTTTGTTTAGATCTTCAGAATCTCAAAATCTTGGGCCTGGCTTATTTCCTGTACCTCTTCCTGTTTTCCGGCTTGGAGTATACACTGAGTTTTCTCACTCACCAGAGATTCCAGTTCAGCAGGTACAGAAGACAAATGTTGTATATTTTGTCTAGGATATTTTCCAAAACCTTGATTTAAGGTCTGTTCATTTACTTTCAAGCGAGGCTTTATGAGGTTAGTAAAAACACTCAGAAAGCAACCCCTGTGTTCAGTGATACTTGGGCTTTGTGGGAAGAATTTATGAAAATATAGGCACACTGTTTATCATGAAAGGAAATAATCCACAACTTCTAATAACTAGAGAAAATCAATACACGATATTAAATTAAAGCTCCTGAAATCTGTATAGCTGGGTTAGTTGTATTGATATAATAAAACCTTTTCTCTTCTTGCCCAGAAGAGTTCTTCAGTATCAGGACAAAACTTGAAGCTCAAAAAAAGGATGGAGGGATAGCTATGTGATTGTATTTGCTCATCAGAGTTCTGCGTTGCACATGGTGCACAGTCATTACGCCATGGAGTTTGTTCTCCTTTAGTCAAGCACTAGAGAAGGAAGAGAACAGAACCCACTAACAGCCGCTCGGCTTGAAATACTTCTCCTGCCAGCTCATAGGAAGATTTCCAGCCAGGAACATGATCTTGCGGTTTGATTCCTTATGTGTGTCCGTCCCTTTGAGGAATTCTCAGGGGTTTGTCTCCTCTTTAATCATTACAGTTTGTGGCTTAACTAACGTGTGTGCGTTAAGGAAAGGTTTTCTAGTGCGCTAGCTTCCTTCTGCACAGTCCTTTCAGGATAGCCACGTAATGAGATACACAACTGTGTGCCAGCAGTACAGGAGGTGTGACAAATGGGCCTGTTGGGGAGGTGAGAACTTTCAGTTGAGAATATCCACATAGTTTAGTAGAGAAGAGAGGTGAAAGGGAAATTTGAAGAAATATTTAAGGGTGGAGGGAGTGATGTTGCAAGGTTCCTGGTGCAATACACGATCACCTCTGTGCCAGTGCCCATGTTGTGCCTTGGTGACCTTCATCAGACTCTGCACGCGTGGTGGCAGCGGTTGTGAGAAAGCAAAACACTTGTTCCTTCGGAACGAACAACTCCTGTGCCGATGGCACAGACTTCCATGGCACAGCGTAATTAATCTGTTGGCTCTTACTGGGCCACCCTAAAAACAACTAAACTACATCATGGCAGTCCGGAGATGATCGCAGCATTCGCCAGCAGCCGTCCCATCTCTCTGTAAGGCCTCAGGGGTTTATCTTCTTGCTGTCAGCCTGCCATGGAGGCTAATGTCAGCATATGAAGAACTTTGCACTGCTCGTGTGAGCACCAAGAAGCATTTTCTCTCTCTTGTTCAGCCAAGGGTCTGCACTGGACCTGTGAATCCCGGGGTGGAATGCTCTGTGCGTGACTCCATAATCTCTGGTTTTGCCTCTCTTTTAGCATGCAGCAGGGCAAGATGTTTTTCTTTATTGGAATAACAATGGCTGCGATCCAGGGAGGCTATGCACGCCGAATCAAGCCAGGAAATGAAATCAGAGCTGTAAAAAGGGTAAAAAAAAGATTTCTTTTTTTCCCCCCCCCTCAAATTTGATATGTTAATTTTCAGTCTAAAGTGCAATGAAGGGTAGTTGGAGGCTCTAACCGTGCTCGTCACATCAGAAGAAATTTCTGTCTCATTAATCCAGCTAAATGACTTCTCGAGACCCTCGTTGTTGGACACTTACCAGTCTAACTGAACTTTGGAACGCTAGAGCCGTTTCTTACATATCAGCTATGATACTACTGAAGCTTTGAGTACTTCATACGTAACTGCAGTAGGGAATGACAACAGTGTCTATGCAAGCTGGGTAAAATGCTGAGAAGGTTACGCTTTGTTTCAGTGCTTTCTCTTGCAGTGGAGGCATCGAAGCTACTAAAGCTGCTTCAGAGCTGATCTCTGACTCTCTTTCTGCCAGAGTATTTTCAGGGACATCATCAGCCTGGCCATCTCTGTGCTTGACTCTGTGATTCACTGGTGGGCAGGGGGAAATAAATTCTCCCTCCAGTCATTGATTTGCGATTGTCAGTATTACACGTAACAACAGCACGTACCAGTGTTCAGACCGAAGTCTCACTGATGAATGTGTGCATTTGGTTTTGCCTCTTTCTTTGTAGAGATGATGGTGCTGCTGTGCTGGGATGACAGGGAACAGTTCTCTGCAGCTCATACAGCTGTGAGACAAGTTGATATGTCCTGTCATTTACATTTGTGGGTGGAAATACACAAAGTGTGTTTCGAGTGTTCCGGGACTTTGGTTGGCAGCTTGGTAGGAGGTATGCTTGGACTCTTAAAGCCTCCATCAATTTATTGTACATTATTTTGAGGCCAGTGTGATTTAAAAGACTACTAAACTGCACTACATTCCAGTGAATTGACTCAGCTTTTCTTAAATTTATTTCTGCTGGTGAAACCTTCTCCACCCTGCTCCCTGGCAGGCAAAAGCTAATGGCACGCTGCTGGTGTCACACAGGAACCAGTTCCCTGTGAAGGTGTTAGTGCCACTTTACCCTCTGCAGCAGCTTCCTCCGTGCCAGCCTGCTGTCACTGCACTGCACTTTATGCACACTGTGGTTTGCCCCACTCATTTTTATGCTCCTTCCTCGTCCCCACTCCGAGAAGCGTAGTTCCCCCGAAATCCTCACCTAGTTCCGTTGGTCTGGGCTGCTTCTTCTCATAAACACCCCTGTGCGCTGCGCAGAAGCCCGCTGGCCCCGGGGCACGCTTTCTGTGGATGGATGTGGCTCTTGTGGGAGTTCCCCTTTTGCTGAAGTTACTCTGGCAATTGTGAATCTGGCTCATAGGGCGAATGGGGCCTCTCAGCACAGCGATTACAGTAGCTCATTTGTAACTGAACCTTCAAAACGAGACATATGGGGGGAGCAAATACCCTTTTATGAAACACGCAGCAGATCTTCACTGATCTGTCTTTTCTGCGAAAGCTCTGTATGCAAGGGAGCCATCACTGGGGAACTGAAGTCCAGGCTCTTGGAGGAGATGAAGAATGGTTTTTTTCTATTTGGGTTTGAATGTCAAATGCTATTCCCCTCCCCATTTTTTTCTTCTTGGATTCAGAAGGATGGGTTCTGAAAGATAAGATAAAATCAGTCAGTACTGCTGAGAAAAAGCAGAGGGGGCGTAGTCCTGTCGCACACAAGCTTTTTGATCTCTTGTGCCAGCTCAGGAGATGAAGAGTTAAAGCTAGATTGCTGTCCAGTTCAATGCAGAACAAGTGGGGGGGAAAAAAAAAATTAAAAAAATCACCAAAACCAGTAGATCGTGTGAGAGCAAGAACGCTGCAAAACCCACCTTTTCCTCAATTGTGGGAAATGGGTGATGGGATAATTCCAGCCTGTGCGACAGGTGACTCCAGCCTGTGTGTGTCCTGCAGCCAGGTGACAGCAAGAACAGAAAAGTCGGTTGTGCTGATGTGTGGCCACCCAGGTGAACCTGAAATGTCTACTTGGGAGGAAAGGGCTTTCTGCTTCAATTTAAATGTGGTCCCATCTCCCAGCAGAAGAGAAGTGGCAGGACACCTAGAGTTAGGCTTTAACAAGCAGGGCTGAAATGTAACCGGGTGACTCATTCGTTTTGCAGGCTATTATGTTGCTGATTCCAGCTTTCCTGTTAATTGGATGGGCTGCAAATGTGACCATGCTGAGCGCTGGGCTGCTGCTGTACTCCTTCGGTGAGCTACTCAAAAGGCACTGAGAGCCAAGCACAAGTCATTTTTCTTCATTCATTTATTCACCCCGTTAAAAAAGATGCATTTCTAATTTCAAACTATAAAAGTAACAGAAAGTTGACATTTCTGTTTGTAAAATAGGGAAGAAATAATGTCTGGGGTTTTTTTTCTGATGCACTGTGTATCACAGGAAGTTGCCATGGAAGCATCCCCAGTGCTCCTGTTGTCCTGTTGCGCTAGGGAGCTCTTCAGGGTGGTGTTTTTTTCCCCTCTTATCCAACCTAGAAACAAAATAGTCACTAAATAGCTCAGCTCAGGAAAAGAAGGGAGACAGCATGTCTCTGTATTTCTGTGGTGGCTGCATTATTTCTCAGGCAACAGGCTGAAGCACCCGGCATGTGCTGAAGGTGAAGGCCAGAGCGTCCGGGCTGAGTGAGAGCGAGGGTCACTCAGGGCTGCTCTGAACATGGCAGCGTGGGGCTGGGCTGCCTGGAGGCTGCTCTGCTCTTGCGCTGAGAGCTGCCTGGGGAGGGAGCAAAACTCTGCCTAGCGTTTCTGATGAGTGCAAATGGTTTTCAAAGGTGTTTCCATGTTCACATAAATAATATTCTGCCCATCTAAGCTGTTACTCAGGGAAACAATTACGAATGAAGTTGGATTCATCTGCTGCAGTGCCTGTCTGAAAAGAGATTTCAGATATTCCTAGCACTGCTGGGAATATCTGAAATAGTCGTATTGTTAAGAAGCTACAAATATGACCAGTTACAAAGGTAGAAGACTTCTCTTTTGCATGATACAGCTTGATTTAAGAGTAAACTGTGTAAACCACAAAAATGCATCTCTATAGTAGCTTGCTTGGCCAGAGACAGCTGTGTGTTTGACAGGTTTCAAACTCTACCTCTTTTCTGCAGATTAACTTGCTTTTGAAAGGCCCCTGGGTGAGCAGGGGTGAGGAGGAGTGTTCATTTTGTCTGACTGTAAAAGTTAGGAGCCTCATCTTCCTAGGCTCCACACCGGGGCAGAGGACCCCAACTCTTCCCCAGTTAAGCCAGCTAGAAATGCCTCTGGCAGGGCCTCTTTCCCCCGCTCTGCCCCAGGAGGTAGGTAGGGCGCCTGCAGACTATCGTTCCTGCTCTCCAATTGTCCTTTCCTTCCCAGAAAGGACTCTGCTTTGTATGCTTAAAGCATTTCCTTCTTGGCAGAAAAGGCCCCTGTTTCAGCAAGCAGTGATTGCTGAACAGCGCTTGGCTTTTGCGTCCAAAAATTTTGTAACCTCCTCTTCTCGGACATGACCATCTTGCTTCCCCAGACAGCCTGCCGCTGCCTCTCTCATCCCTGAATACAGTAAAGCCATATGCATGGGGACAGCGCGGCTCTGCGTACAGCCCCCTCGTCGTCCGTTTGAAATACGGGCGATTCGCTTTCCCTGCTCCACCTGACAAGACCACAGCGCTTTGGAGAACTACCAGTCAGCTGCTCTGAGCTATCCCCCCCTTGCCTGGGGGCTCACAAAATGAGAGCCACTAATGTGAAACATCTGCTCGGAGCACTCGTGGCTCCAGGCTCTCCCTGCAGGTTGGCTTTGGGGCCTGTTTTCATTATGGAACTGGATTAAACCTGATGATTCATTGTTGGGACGGCGCCCTGGAGCTCAGCATAGTTCTCTGCAGCAGTAACGAGTTGGGCCACATGTTTTTCACTATTGCTGTTGTAAGGGCTGTGAGCTCTCTGCTGTTCAGTGACAGGCTCTTCTGTGGATTTTTCCAGCTGCGGCCATTGTTATCCCGTGTCTGTCAGCAGTGGTGTCAGGCTACGGTGAGTGTCTTTCCTGCTTTGAGCGCACAACTGACCTTTCTCTAGACTTGGCTCAAATACAGAACTGACCTCAAGTTTCGGGCTGCATCAACAGGAACTCTCATGGCGTAGGTCAGCCGCGGATCTCCGTGGTGGACCAGTGGCTCTGGCTGCTGCTTGGCTTCATGGCTTTATAAAAGGCCTCTTCTCACGGCCCCCCCCGCCCCCCCCAATGCATTAGCAAGGGAATACGAAGTGTTACAAACTGCTCCTCCACGTTGTACATACACATCCCTGAAGCAATAACCAACCACCCCTGTGGGCGTGGGGCTAAAGCCGCGCAAAGAAAGAGCCCTTCCCCGTCCCTCGTACGCTGCCCCTTTTCAGCGCAGCCACGACTGTCCTCACCCTCCCATCGCACCGTGCTTTGCTGGGGGCAGGCGAACCACCTGTGACACACTGGGGGCGCTACAGCCTTCAGCCCCTTCACTGAACATCCTTCACGGAAGGGAAGCTGAGTGGGGCTGTGGGGAGAGGAAGACAAGATCCTGACCCCGGGAAATTCAGAGATGTCCCACAAGGGAGCACAGGAGCACCCCAAACTGACCTGTACCCATTTCTGAAAACTGTCAGCACTCCATAACGGACAGTTTCTTAGAAAAGACCTTCTAAGGAACCTTCCAGAGCTGCCTGGGGTGGTGGCAGTGGTTGCTATGTAAAGCAGATGTAGCTGCGTTGCCATCTGTGGGTGACACAGCTCGTTCTTGAGCTTTGGTTCAGTTGGCTGCCAGCGCTACAGTGCTTGCCGAGGCGACAAAGTAAGGCTTTGCTCATTAGTGTCACTTTTCTGTTGCTCTTAACTTGCATCCATGCTGCTGTGTGTATTACTCACCTGCGCCTCCTCAGCAAACCTTGTGCATGATGTAGAGCTTTTCTTTCTGTTGGGGTTTTTCTTTGGGGGGGTGGGGAGAGCGCGCTACGAGTTGTCCACGGACAAGCACTCTTGACAAGCCCTGGTGCTTTTTCAGTGGAGCACTCATGGTTATCTTGGTGGAGGGGAAATCCGTGCAGCTGGGGCAGCGAGCGTGACATGAAAGGAGCGGGAGAGGCATGTGGGAAACGCCTCCGAAAGAGCAGGGCTCGAAGCGCTATGGCAGAGCCCTGCCCTGAGCGCCTTCCCTGCCCCGAGCCAAACCTCCACCCTGAGTAACAGCCCTCTGCTTGCACAGGCACAGCCAGCCAGAAGGGACGCGTCATGGGGATCCTGCGGAGCCTGGGCGCCCTGGCCAGAGCCCTGGGCCCCATCCTGTCAGCCACAGGTGAGTGCGGCCTCCTGCGCCCTCCCGGCCTTGCCAACACCCAGCCTCACGCTGGGCCCCCTTGGCCTGTGCCGGTCTGAAGGGGAGGTGCAGCCGTAACGTTGTCCTTGCAGATGTAGGTACCTACAGAGCTGCACCAGGGGCGGGACACGCTCCTTGCTAGCAGCAAGGAAAGCCTCGTGGATGAGTTCAAAAGGGTCATACAAGCAGAGTCAACCTCAACAGCAGGTACTCCCTGACTCTCTAAAAATTCCAGCAACAGCGTCAGCCTGTCCAAGCCCCCTGTGCAGCTCTGCGGGCTGAGGAGTACCACAGCGGGCCCAGCCCCGCTGCGCAGAGGGAGCTGCAGCCTGACCAGGAACCCTTGTCTTTGCTGGGCTTGTCCTTAGCCATTTTAGCAAGCGGCCCGGGCTGCTGCGGGGCCAGCCTGGCACTGGGTAAGCAGGAGTCAGTGAAATCTGGTTTCCTGTGCTAACTGGTTCCCTCCATCTCATGAAGCTGCATCCCAAGATGACACAAATTAAGCAGGGACAGCCCATCATGTGCAATGGAGACATTTTCAGCATTAAAAGGGTCTGTAACCTATAAAATGCTACACTCCACTGACCGCCCGGGGCTCAGGGAGTGGGCAGTGGCCCCGAGTAAGGCCAAACCTAGACTGTGCCTCAGGAGTAGAGGTACCCCGGTACAGGGTTCAGTTCCCCCAAGCCATTACAGGGTAAAGGGACAGAACAAGGGGAAGCAGCCGCGCAGCAAGTCCGAGCTTGAGCTTGGCCCTAACGTTCAGTTTGAGCACAGCCAGAACCCGTTTCCTGACGGCATCCAGAGCAACTGCCCCTCCGGCTCACCAAAGCACAGCCCTGCCCCCCAGCACAGCGGCCTTCTGAAAGGGCAGGCCAGGCTTTAGACCTTACCCCAAAACTGCTCCCCAGCTCAGCACCAGCCCTGCCCTGCCCGCCCACCTCGGCACCGGGTTTTTGGGTGTGTCACAAAGAACCGGGGGCAGCCGCTGGGGCACAGTTGCCTGGTCAAGCTGGAGGAGCGAATAGGAACGTCCCCACGGCCACAGTGCTGAGAATGGAAACATCCCACTTGAAATAACCACTTCCAAGATGCTGGTCCCTGGAAGGGAACCAGCACTGCTGTTGCCCACCTCCTCTGTCACCCATGTGCCAGGAGGGACATGCAGGGAAGACCACAGCAGCGCTGCAATTTGCTGGCGCTACCAGTAAGGGTGGTTCACCCAGGCGCAGGGACACGCACGCTAACGAGTGAAATCTTGTTTCCCTTGCAGTTTACTGGCTGGCCGGGGCAGAGGTTTGCTTCACTCTCTGTGGAGCTTTGTTCCTCATCCCCTTCATTTTACTTGGCTCTATAAACCAGCAGACGAAGGAGGAGTAGGAATTAACCTCGGAACTATCGCCAGCTCCCACGGACCCGGACAAGATCGAACTCTCGGTACCCGACTGCTGATCAAATAGGAAGAGGAGGATTTTGAGCTTCTGGAAGGGGACACGTGGTGACCGTTTGCAGCAGCAACAACAGACTTCAGGTTTCTGACCGCCCTCCACAAGCAGTTATGTTTCAGACAGCTGCCCCGCCAGCGGGGCTGGTTTTGCAAACAGAAAAACCCACCACCCACCAAACCACGAGCAGGTGAGTACAGCACGAAGATCCTAAGCAGAGGCTGACGTGACAGCAACGCCGCACAGCACAGTCCCAGCCCACAAGTGCTGTCCCACGCTGCGCCGCGTGTACCCAGAGCTCTTCCCTGCGCCTCCCTCTCGCCGCCATCAGCACAAGCCAGAGCAAAGCCCCTGCCCCAAGCCCCCACGGAGTGGACTGGTTTGCCGGGTTTTGGCTGGCAGAGAACAACCCCACAGGGCGGCTCCCAGGGGGGTTTCTACACGATTGTCACGAGATCCCCGCAACCCCCCAGAGGACCCAGCACAAGCGGTACCAGCTGCCTTAAAACGCGAGGATCAAAACGAGAAGCGAGCAGCACACGAGAGGCTGCCTGTGCCCCGTGCTTCGGCACAGGGGGGGCTGTTTTTAATACACGAATTTTGAGAGATGTTTTATATTTCTAATACTGTGTGAGGGGTTTTGACCCAGCACTGTTCTTCTTGCATTACAAATAAACGGTTACACTGTACACTTGTCCAGTCCGTTCATTAGTGAGATGTTGCACCCACCTACAGCGAACTGGGCTGGCTGGCTCAGAACCCCACCCCAGGTGCCAAAAGCCTCCTGGCAGGAGCTGGCCCCCAGGGACCCCTGGGTGCAGGTCCCAGGCCCCAGGGGGGGTGGGGAAGGCCCCTCCACCAGCAGGTGCTGACCGCTGCTGCGCTGGGGCACTCCGGGAGGAGGCCACTTGAGTCAAACACATTAAAGCAACCATTAATCAGCACATTAATCGTTGAAAGAAAGTGGAGCCAATTACATTAAACAGGTGACAGCCATAGATTAAAACTACAAGTTTGGAAAGCAGAGCAGCAAAAGACTTTTTTTTTTTTTTTTTTTAAAGAGTTTTATTTGTGAGTAGAACTTAATGATACAAGAAAGAAAGAAAAATACAGGACTTTACTCTGCCCCGAAGTGTGTAACCATACCATACGTGACTACATTTCATATTGTAATACAAAGAATTAAAAGAACAAACTACAAAATTAGAAATTAAAGAGTCATTGCATATGTGGTCAAGATAAATGGAGGGACTCCATTGAAGAACTGAAACACAGAGCAATTAGTCATTTAGTTACGACCCTGCGATAACACACGACTTAGCGAAGTGCTGTACGCTTCCCGGCGTGCCGAGGGCGTACGAGGTTAAAGGACAAGCTGGAAGCCGTTCCCGCCATGCAGCCCCGCTGACCGCCCGCTCCGGGTCCCTCCTGCGCCGCCCTCACCCCCGCCCGTCCCGCCACACCAGTCCCTCCCACCCCCGCTGGTCGCCTTTCGGCTGCTGCCCCAAACCCGCCCGAGGCCAACCCGGCCGCCTTGGCCCAGAGCTGCCTCCGGCCGCCCAACCCGCCTCTCCGGCCGCTCGCTGCTGCACGAGCGCAAGGCACCGACGGCGACGCCTGCGCTGTCCCCACGGTACGTCCGCATCCCTTCTGCTGCACTTGCTGTCAGTCAGCGTGCTCCCCGCTCCCACCCACGCGGGTCGACGTCTGCTGCTGCTGCTGAGGGCCGGCACGGCG